TTTTTTTTTTTTTTTTAAGATAGACAGAGTCTCACTCTAGCCTGGCTAGAGTACCATGGCATAATCCAAACTCCTGGACTTTGGATGTGATCCCTTGCCACAAGCTTCCTGAGGAGCCAGGGCTACAGGTGCCTGCCATGAGGCCTGGCTAATTTTTCTATGTTTAGTAGAGATAGTGTCTTGCTTTTGGTCAGGCTGGTCTCAAATTCTTAAGCTCAAGCGATCTGCCTGTCTCCCCCTCCCAGACAGCTAGGATTATAAGCATGAGCTACTGCATCCAGCCTTATTTTGTAAGTGGAAGCCCTGGTTGTCGAGCACTTATTCCTACTCTTTAATACTAATCTCCTACTTTGAAAAACTACTGCTCAGCTAAACCAGGGTGGGTCCAGTGTGACGTCACAATTCACCTTCCATCTCTCTTTCTCCCTTTTTACGCATAGGCTTTGATAGTAAGGCCTCTCATTACCTTCCTTCAAACACTGAACAAAAAATAAGAAACAAGCATAGCTTAGGAAACAAAATCTCGTAGAGCATAAATGACAGTCATCAGATATTCCCCTCAATAATACACTAAAACTGCGCTGGGTAAGGGGACATTTTCTCCATGCACCTGGCACCACTGTGTCCACCTGCACCGTCACCCACCCCTCAGCAGCCATGTCTCCCTCTCTGACGGGAGTCTCTGAAGTTGGGAAGATGACTTCTTTTCTTGGCCATGTCTCATGCAAGGACTCTACTTCTCCTTATGCTAACAGGCTCTCTTTCTCTTTTTCCTTTGCCTTTTTTTTCTCTGCGTGGATCATCTCTAAACACCATTTCTTGAAGTATCGTCTAAAACTGGTATATTTAGAGATTTTAATAGGATAGGTTCTATATTTTTTAGCATTAAAGTGATTATGATTTTCTCTTTTATATCTTTAGTCTTAACAGGTTTTGAAACTAATAACAAATATGCAATTAAGAACAGCCTTGGACAGAGGGTTTACTTTGCGGTGGAAGATAATGACTGCTGTACCCGAAATTGCTGTGGGCCGTCTAGACCTTTTACCATGAAGATTCTTGATAATATGGGTCAAGAAGTCATCGCTCTAGAGAGACCGCTGAGATGCACCAGCTGTCTTTGCCCTTGCTGCCTTCAGGAGGTCTGTGGGCAGTTTCCAGGGCACTTTGTAGTGTAGCTCAGCAAGGATTTTCATGCTTTTATTGAACTTACTTGTATTCCTTTGCCTTTGTAGATAGAAGTCCAAGCTCCTCCTGGTGTACCAGTAGGTTATGTCACTCAGACCTGGCACCCATGTCTGCCAAAGTTTACAGTGCAAAATGAGAAAAGACAGGACGTGCTCAAAATTTCTGGTCCATGTGTTGTGTGCAGCTGTTGTGGAGATGTTGATTTTGAGGTAAGAAATATTATAATGTTTATAAAGTTTCTTTCCTAATATAAGAAGAGTATAATTTTGCAGGATGTTACAAATTATACATTAACTAAGCATTGTGCACTAATACCTTAATAGAGAAATAAGGTTCTCTTATGTTTTACTTTAGTCAGGGTGGTGAAAACACTGGAGAAGCATTGTGACATTTTTACATTAGACGCTAAGAAATTAATTTCATCCAACAGCCTTTCTTGGTGGATGCCGTAAAGCATCCATTGCATGTGGTGAATTAGCTGTTCTTATGCTTATCTGCAGCACCCGTTCTCAACCTGCGGGTCACAACCCACGGGGACTATATTAAAGGGTTGGGGCATTAGGAAGGTTGAGAATTGGAGATAATTGACAAATAGTCGCTTGAATCATTTTCTATTGAATTCATGATGGACAATTTAAAATGTTAAGGCAGGAGTTATCAGTATGAGAGATCACTGGACTCCATCCGAGTGTCACTGAGCTTGAGAACTTGAAGTAAAAATAAATAAATAAATAAATAAACTTGGAGGCTGAGGCATGTGGATTGCCTGAGCTCAGGAGTTTGAGACCAGCCTGAGCTAGATGAGACCCCATCTGTAAAAATAGCCAGGCACTGTGGCAGGTGCCTGTAGTCCCAGCTTACTAGGGAGGCTGAGGATCCCTTCAGCTAAGACTTTGAGGTTGCTGTGAGCTACGATGTCACATCACTCTATCGAGGGTGACAGACTGAGACTCTGTCTAAAAAATAAATAGATACCTGATCCACAGCAGAATCAGATTATTCTAAATAAAGCAATAATTCAAGAGACATCTCTTAAGTACATTGTGCAGTACTGTCTATTGAAAATGAAGAAAAACTTAGAGATTATTCTGAGCTAAGATGTTTGAACAGCTGAATGAATACTGATATTATTGGCCAAGTTAAGAATCTTAGAGGAGAAACACTTGTGGGAAGCTCAGGCTTTGTATTTAGGTCCTGGGAGGTTTTAGTTATGTAGGGGGAGAAGACGTAGAGTTTTCAGCATACAGATAGTAGCTGTAGCTATAAAAAGATTATCACATGGCCGGGCCTGGTGGCTCACACCTGGAATCCTAGCAGTCTGGCAGGCTGGGGCAGGTGGATTGCTGCTTGAGCTCAGGAGTTTAAGATTAGCCTGAGCAAGAGCAAGACCCTACCTATCTTTACTAAAAATAGAAAAAAAACTAACCAGCCTGTGGCAGGCACCTGTAGTCCCAGCTACTCCAGAGGCAGAAGCAAGAGGATTGCTCAAGACCAGGAGTTTGTAGTTGCTGTGAGCTATGATGGCACGACGCTCTACCCAGGGCAACAAATATTCTTATCTCAAAAAAAAAAAAAAAAGAAAGAAAGAAAGAAAATATTATCACTGTGGTGCAGCCAAGTAGATCTATCCAATGTAGATGACAAGGGAGTCTGTTAGTCTTACAAGCTAACAGCCCTGTATAAAGAGCTTCAAGAATGTTAGCTATGCTGTCCCCATGTGTCTAGTTAAAGAGTTGCTTTAGTCTAAGCACAATCTGTTCAACACCATATCATGGCCCTAGACTTCCCTCAGGCAGAATTGTGAAATTAGAAAGTATTTTCCAGCCCGGAGCAGTAGCTCACGCCTATAATCCTAGCACTCTGGGAGGCGGAGGCAGTTGGATTGCCTGAGCTCACAGGTTCAGCAGCAGCCTGAGCCAGAGCTAAACCTTGTCTCTGAAAACAGCTGGGCATTGTGGAGGGCACCTGTAGTCCCAGCTATTTGGGAGGCTGAGGCAAGAGAATCACTTGAGCCTAAGAATTTGAGGTTGCAGTGAGCTATGATGCCATGGCACTCTACTACCAAGGGTGACAAATTAAGACTCTGTCTCCAAAAAAATAAGTATTTGCTTTAGAGCTCTTTTTTCATGTACGCTTCTTTTATTGTTAAGACTCCAACCCCTGACCCGGGACCTCCCATCAAGTAACTTACTGGTTACTACTTTTCTTCACTCAAACTGCCAATCTTGCCAGGCATGGTGGCTCATCCCTGTAATCCCAGCTTGGGAGGCCAAGGTGGGTGGATCATCTGAGTTCATGGATTTGAGACCAGCCTGAGCCAGAGTGAGACCCCCGACTCTATAAATAGCCCGGTGTTCTGGAGGGCACCTGTTGTCCCAGCTACTTGGGAAGCTGAGGCAAGAGAATCACTTAAACCCAGGAGTTTGAGGTTGCTGTGAGCTATGACACCCTGGAACTCTACCAAGGGTGACAAAGTGAGACTCTATCTCAAAAATAAAATAAAATAAACTGCCTATCTTCTTTTCTATGCTCTTCCCATTTTATGTTTCCCAAACAGTGAGTGGTAATGATCTCCCCCATTACTTTCAGCCTATGTAAAGGCTCTCTGCTTCTCTTAAAGCAGAAGTCTAAAAGGAGTTTTGTTTATTTACTCATTCATACCTTTATGGTGTCTTTTAGAAATTTTATTAAAGAAACATTTTATATTTTTATCCTTTTCTGCTTAAATTTTGTTTTAAATCAATTCAAATGATTTATTACTGTTCATCTTACTGTAAAATGCAAAATATTAAATTTTTCAACAAAATTAATTCCATTTCATTTCTCATTAAAATGCAATTGTTTTCTGTTGTATATAGATAGATACAGAAGCCTGCTCATATGTAATGAGGGTTATATTTTTATAGTTAACATAGGGTGTATAGTTTTAACATTTATTTCATTTTACTCTAACATTGAAAATACTTTTGCTATATGTTTTCTAGAAATATCTGACTTTGTTTTTTTTGGGGGGGGGTTTTTTTTTTCTTTTTTTTTTTTTTTTTTTTGCAATTTAGATCACATCTCTCGATGAACAAAGTGTGGTTGGCAAAATTTCCAAGCAGTGGTCTGGGCTTTTGAAAGAGGCATTTACAGACGCAGATAACTTTGGGATCCAGTTCCCTTTAGACCTTGATGTTAAAATGAAAGCGGTGATGCTTGGTGCCTGTTTACTCATTGTAAGTCTGTCTTTACGAATCTTGGTTATCATCGATTTCTCTGGTATCATTCTGACATGATTCAGTAAACCATATATTTCAAAATGGTCTGATTAAACGCATAGGTTTTAAATAAAGGTTCCCATTTAATCTTAGCTTTGAAATTCCATTGGATCCTAACATTCTGGATTCACAGGTGACTAGTTTTTACCTGAAGAGTCATTTTCACCTGGTAAAAGAGGCTAAGAAGTGCTAGGTACTAATGGAAGGTCCTAATCTGGGGGCTTTTCTTTTGAAAGAATCGGTGCTCTGGGAAAGCAGCTCAATCTGGGCCTATGCAGAAAAAAACTCAGTGAAATGGCAAATTCCGTCCTGATCATTATTAAACTAGATTATCTGTTATAGGAGTCTAAACTGCAATAAGAATATGCAATCCGTTAATCTTCTAGCTATAAGGACCAATTTACAGCAAACACGTGGGATAATCCTCATTTCTGTATTTTTGTTTTTATCTAGGACTTCATGTTTTTCGAAAGTACTGGGAACCAGGAACAACAATCAGGAGTGTGGCAGTAGCTTGCTGAAAGTCCACAGAACTTCTCCGTCCACAGATGGCTCGGGGCACTATATAAGGAAAAAGAAATGTGTTTTGTTTTGTTTTGTTTTTGAGATTGCACCTGTCTAAATTAAGCTCTGCTTGTCTTTATGTCTAGTTGTAGTTGTATGATTCTTCTTTATAAATTACAGAGTTTATTTTCTGTATCACTGATTTATAAATATTTTTTATGCATTTTGAATAATCATTGAGAATTTGGGAGAAGGGATATAGGAGTATTTACATTTATAAAATAAAACATCCTACGAAAAGCTGCTTTGAATTATAATCTGATTTATTTTCATGGCAAAAGTAAAGTGAGATTAATTTTTAATGTAAATTGTATTTTATTCTTTTGAATCTAGTTATCCTTTCAGACATAACAATTGTTATTTTGAAAATGTTGTATTTTTTTAAAAGTTACAAAATAAGAAGTTTGTTATTATGTTCAGATAACACTGAATGTGCATCTCAACCAAGAAAATTAAAATGTGTATTTTTTTGACCTTTAGAAAATCATATTATGTTTAACTTTTCCTATAAGCTAATCTATTACTGTGAATACTATTTATTTTAACAATGACAGGACAATAAGTTATTCATTTATAAGTGGCTTCAGTAAAGAAAAAGGGACATGATTTTCTTCCAAAAAAAGATATATTTTCAAGATTAACTGGCTCTAAAATGTTGGTATTATTATGAATTTTGAGGTTATTGTTTACAGATAGAATGTTAACTCCTATCATTTTTAAAATACAATAATTGAGATTACTCTGGCATTAACTAAATAAAACATATATTTCCTCACAGTGTATAAACCTAAATTCTAGTCTATTACATTATTTATACCAATAAGCAAACTTTTTTTTTTTTTTTAAAGACAGAGTCCCACTTTATCACTCTTTTTATGGGGAGAGGGGGTTTGGCCAGGGCTGGGTTTGAACCTGCCACCTCTGGCACATGGGGCCAGCGCCCTAATCCTTTGAGCCACAGGCACACACTATCATTCTTGGTAGAGTGCCGTGATGTCACACAGCTCACAGCAACCTCCAACTCCTGGGCTCAGGCGAGTCTCTTGCCTCAGCCTCCCGAGTAGCTGGGACTATAGGCGCCTGTCACCACGCCTGGGTATTTTTTTGTTGCAGTTTGGCCAGGGCCAGCTTTGAACCTGCCATCCTTGGTATATGGGGCCGGTGCCCTACCCACTGAGCCACAGGCACTGTCCCTAAACAAATATTTTAAATAAAACTTTGTTGATATATTTTTTGCATATGTAGTTTTTGTTTTTAAACAAAAGGAAGTTAGCCAATTCAGATGTATTCTGAACACTCAGTTGAATAAAGGCACATCTAACTTCCCTTTCCTTTCAAATCTCTTTTTAAAAGAGCAAAAGCCTATGATACCCTGTAAAAAATTCTGTAGCAGGGTTGGAAACTAGGATTTGTACCTGTCAGAAAATTAAAGGAATTTTGTGGTCTGTTTTGTAAGGAAGATTGAATTGAGAGAGGAGAGGAACAAGGCACAATTTGCCTCATGCAGAGGAGGTAAGGTCATGGGAGAGGGACCCCCTTTCGTCTTCACCAGAACACCTCCAAAGGCCACTCTTATTGCAAGTATCGACACCGGTGGAATTTCACCAACACCAGTAGCTCTGAATGGCAAATGAGGAGAACATTGGTATGTCAGGGCAGCTGCAGTAAAAGCAAAGCCTATTTCACCTCTCAACAGCCAAAATAATTCACCAGATGCTGGATTCCACGGGTGCAGTGTACCAAGGCACATCCTCTATCGTAAGCTTAGTACAGACAGCATGCCAAGTCAAGGGGCCCCTGCATAGCTGGACTGAGGTGACATTCCTTGTGCCAGTTAGAGAAGTGGAAGGCCTTCCAGGCTGGCCGTCACATCCCACTGTGATGCCACCTAACTGAAGCTCAGAGGTATGACTGTCTGTGTAACTACATGTTACTTTTTTTTTTTTTTTAATTTGAGACAGAGACTCAATCACCCTGGGTAGAGTGTTGTCACATCATAGCTCACAGCAACCTCTCCTGCTCAAGGGATTCTCTTGCCTCAGCATCCCAAGTAGCTGGGACTACCAGCATCCACCACAACGCTTTTTTCTTTTTTTTCTTCAGAGACAGGATCTCACTCTTGCTCAAGCCATCCACCTGCCTTGGACTCCCAGAGTGTTACGATTACAGGTGTGAGCCACCATGCCTGGCCGCATGTGACTTTCATTTCTTCTCTTTCTCTCTGTTCTCCTTAGGATTCTGGATCTCCAGTTAAGCAACTGACCTAAACAGTTCCTCTCTTCAACTATGCATGGAAAGTTTGAGGAACCCAAAGTTAAATACTTGTTTTCTCATTAAATATTTTATGTAAAGAATAATCATCAAATGTGAACAAATAGAAATCAATGTTTAAAAATGCCAGGAATTACAAAAAGTTTTAATTTGTAATCTCAGTGGGATTGATGTTGCATATTCATTTCTACTGGCTGGGTTGTGGCACTGGATGGAAGCCCAGTGGATGCTGCTGACCAAGGAGTTAGGGTAGAAAGAGGAGCTGGGATGGCGGGAGGATGGAGCTGTGTTTCCAGACTTGAACAGACCGGAGAGGACAAGGCTAAGGGATGCCACTGCCTGACCTGAGCTCCTCTGGGGCGAAAGTTGGAGAGAGAATGGGCAAGATGGAGTGTGTACGTGAACGTGGAAACAAAGCTGGGAGAAGGGGGGGAAGCACCCCAAGCACAAGCAGGTAAATAGCCGGAAAATCAACATTAGGGCTCCTGGCATCTAGTTAGTTAGCTGCTCTCTATAGGTTAATTATTAAACTTAACTGAGTTTGGCCTTTAAAAGAGCTACTGTAACCCAGTGGCTCACACCTGTAATCCTAGCACTCTGGGAGGGCAAGGCAGTGGATTGCTTGAGCTCACCAGTGTGAGACCAGCCTGAGCAAAAGTGAGACTGCGTCTCTATGAAAATAGAGAAAAAAAAGAAAAACTGAGGCAAGAGAATCCCTTGAGCCCAAGAGTTGGAGGTTTCTGTGAACTATGATTACTCCACGGCACTACCCAGAGTGACTCTGTTTTTTTGAGACTCTCTCTCAAAAATAAATAAATAAATAAATAAATAAAAATAAAAATGCCTCCAGGCAGACTTTTCCTAGGACAACATTCCTGCACCTGACCCTGGCTGCCATGTACTGGCTGCTGACTCTCCTAGGACAACGTTCCTGCACCTGACCCTGGGTGCCATGTACTGCCACGTACTGACTTTCCTTGGACTTGGACAATGTTTCTGCCCCTCTCCCTGCCTGCCGTAAATTGGCTGCTGACTTTCCTAAGACAATGTTCCTGCACCTGACCCTGGCTGCCATGTACTGGCTGCTGACTTTCCTAAGACAACGTTCCTGCACCTGACCCTGTCTCTTTCATGGTCTGTGTTCCTCCCTTGCCTTAATTTCTCTCAGGTGTCAATGGTATAGCTCTACCTCAGAAGGTCAGGGTGACAACTCAGTGATCTCATGCAGGTCCACAGACACGAACAGGTTCCTGCAGAACTAGAGTAGAAAATGATAAGGACTGCGTGTTGGCAAAGATCAGTGGTTTCCAAAACACTGGGAAGGGTGTTAGGCCAGTGTGGAAGATTTGGGCTAAATTGGACTTCTGTATTATGAGTTTGAATGGCAAACACAATTTATTCTGAGCCCCAAGATGAAGATGAATAATAATTCTCCCCTCAGAAGAGCTAGGCTGTCTCCACACAAGCTGGCAAATGAAGAGATGGTTCTCCTCTCACGGGAGGGGAGAATATTATATTAGCTGCAGTGGTATTGACTTCCTTACCAAGTCTCATAGCCTCAAAATGGGGCGAACCATTGAAGGAGAGGAGCAAATATCTGGTCCATGTAACCAGATGAAACATAAATGGATAATACAGAGTTTGAACCCAAGACTCTGAAAGGAAAAGGTGAGAGGGCCATAGGACGAGAAGCAATAGAGTTAATTAGTCACAAAGCTCTGAACTTACCTCTCCCCACACCAAGCATTCAAGTTAAACTTTAATCTGCTTTTAATATTTATATGGTAGAAAATGTTATATTTTGCCCAAAAGATAGCTTATAAGTTTATCCAACTTTGAGCATCGACAAGATTTGGAAAACTGATGGATGTTCCCTGTAGCAAACATTCAAGTTAAACTTTAATCTACTTATAACTATTTATATAGTAGAAAATCTTCTGTTTGTGCCAGGGATAGCTTATAAATTTATGGAAGATTTGGGAAACATGCTTGCCTAGTAACAGCAATTTGTTTCTGCTTATGGATTCTGGTTTTTCAATTAACATATTAAGGATTTTTCTATCCGGCCATGATAGGGAACAAACACTGGCCTATTCCTTCTTGCAATAGACGTTTTTCTGAGAATCGGTTGCTGGGAAACATTTCAATGTTAAGCATTGCCAATAGACTGAAGCCATCTATAAACAGCTCAGGGAACTCTCCTGCTATATTAACTTTACAGAGTAAATTAGATCTTAATCTGCTATGTATCCATTTGTGCATGGACACATGTCCATGAAAAAAAAATCATAGAGGGGGTAATTTATAAAGAACATAAATCTACTTTTTACAGTTTAAGAGGCTGAGAAGTTCAAGACCAAGGCAGCAGCAGATTAGTGTCTGGCAACATCTTGTCTGCTTCCAAGACGGCATGTTGTCCCTATACAGGCAGAAGAGCAAAAGGGATGAATCTAGTGCCCTCCCACGGCAGAAGGAAAGGGAGATCAAAAGGGGTCTAGCTAGTTTCCTTGGGCCCTTCTACAGGCCATTAATCCCATTCATGAGAATGATGCCCTCAAGACTCAGTCTCCTTCTAAATGCCCCACATCTTTCCCACATAGGAATTTAGGAGACACATAAAGCATAGCAGCTACTCAGACTGCCCTGTTAAATCTTACTGCTAGAACTCTCCAATATTGCTATTCACAAACAGAAGAGGATATTCTTGCAAAAATATATTTTTTTTTGCAGCCTATTTTATTTTCGTATGAAATAGATTCACTGGAGTAATCCACACGCTTGTATTTATAGCTTTTCTTGTATTAGAATGGAGGGACGACTGGCATAAAAATATGAAATTGATTTAAAGAGGTTTGAACATCAATTATTTAATAAATACATTTGAATCTGGTGCACTAGGCCAGTGGCTGTGCTGGGTATATTGGTTGAAATAG